GAGCAAGTAAAGCTCGAGGCGAAAGTAAAGCTCGAGGCAAAAGTCAAGCTCGAGGCGAAAACAAAGCCCTCCAGGGGACCCTCGATCAAGACTAGGATGATCGACCCGAGGTGCAGATTGACAGGGCGGCCGTGTCTCGTTTGCCCTGCTCTGTATCGTTCTAGGCGTCTTGGTGATCCGAGAGGGCTGCAGGTAACGTGAAAAGAGGAGCGACGGCGGCCATGGCATTAGTGCTTGGCGGCAGAGTCAGGCCACGCTGACATGATGACGGATTGGGTGCTAGGCAGGCGCAATGGCGGGCGGTGCTTCCGAGCTGACTTGGCTGGCTGGCTGGTGGCAGGCGCGTTCATGGTACTGTACAGTAAGGTACTTCCTAAGGTAGCTACCCCGCCCCCGCCGTCCGTCGCACCTTCTTCCGTCATGCACAGTTGCTCTTGCCCCGTCTCCGTCGCGGCCGCCGCTTCCTCAACTGTTCTGTCACCTCTCCTCTGCAGTGACTGCAGCTCCACGCTTATCTGGCGTGGCCCTCGTGTCCTCTGGCGTGGCCTTGTGTCCCTCTGGCCTTGCTAAGACAAGGCTAGAGAACTCTGCTGAGGGTGGTGCGCCAGGAACCGCCGTTGCCCATACATTCCTCTGCCTTGAGTTCAGCATGGCCGCTTGCAGCTTGTTAAATACCTCGACCAGCTTTTCCCCTCCATCATCAGTCTTCATCGTAACGTCGTCTTGCCTGGCCCAGCTGTCTTTCTCACAATTCTCCAAGTGCTCTGCGTATCGTCAGCCTCCTCTTGACATTGAAACCTGCCCACCGACCACGCACTCATCATGAAGATCGCCGTCTTCTCCGCCAAGCCGTACGACGAGAAGTACCTCACGGCTGCCAAACCCCCAGGGCTCGACGTTGTCTTCCACGATGTCTCCCTGACCCCAAAGACAACCTCGCTGCTGACGCCTCACGCCGGCTCCGACCCCTACACGGCCGTGTGCGTCTTCGTCAATGACCACCTGCCGGCCTCTGTGCTGGACGACCTCCACGATGCTGGCATCCGCGTCGTTCTCCTGCGCTGTGCTGGCTTCAACAATGTCGACCTGCCGCACGCCGAAAAGCTGGGCATCGCCGTCGCCAACGTCCCCTCCTACTCCCCCGAGGCCGTCGCCGAGTTCGCCGTCGCGTTGCTGCAGACTCTCAACCGCAACACGCATCGCGCCTACAACCGAGTCCGCGAAAACAACTTTGCCCTCAACGGCCTCTGCGGTCGCACCCTGCACGGCAAGACGGTCGGCCTCATTGGCACCGGTCGCATTGGCGTCGCCTTTGCGCGCATCATGAAGGGCTTCGGCTGCAAGGTCATCGCCCACGACCCGTACCCTTCCGAGGCTTTTGAACAGTATGGCAAATACGTCGACCTGCACGAGCTGTTGCCGCTATGCGATGTCGTCAGCCTGCATTGCCCCCTCACCGAGCAGACGCGCCACATCATCAACGACGACACGCTGGGCCTGTTGAAGAAGGGCGCCCTGCTCATCAATACCTCGCGTGGCGGCCTCGTCAAGACGAAAGCTGTCATCACGGCGCTCAAGGAGCACAAGCTCGGCGGCCTGGCGCTCGACGTGTACGAGGGTGAGGGTGCGCTCTTTTACGATGACCACAGCGGCGACATTATCGACGACGACGAGCTGATGCGCCTCATGACGTTCCCCAACGTTGTCATCTGCGGCCACCAGGCCTTCTTCACCGACGAGGCCCTGACGGAGATTTCCGAATGCACGGTGCGGAACCTCGAGGACCTCGTCGCGGGGCGTGCGTGCAAGAATGCGCTCGTGCAGCCGCGCGAGGGTGTCCAGGAGGACGAGAAGGGGCTGGTGAAGCCGTTGGCGAGGAGGGAGTCGCTGCCAGTGCGCACTGTCTGAGAATGTCTCGATGGATGCTGTTGCCCAAAAGCCGAATAACGTGGAAATGAAAGCATCACATAATGTGCATTGACTTCATGAGCTAGATCTCTGCTCTAAGCACGCCGTCGGTCGAGGCCCAGATGACATCATGCTTGACGTGAACTTGCGACATCGCCGAAGGACAGATGGAGCGGGTGGGCCATGTTGGCTTTCTGGTACACACATTGCCCTGATTTTGATCCAATCTCCAGCAAACGCCGAGGTCCCTCCAGCTCAGAAAATTTGCGATCCGGGCGTAAGGGCCGGTGCCCCATAATTCCCGGTGAGAACCCGGCGTCCGGGAGGGGCCGTCTTTGGCGAAACCACGGATGCCGAGAGAGCATGTTCCAAGATACTGAGAAGGCATTGAAGGCTTTTGAATATCTTTGCAGAAGTCTTTCTTAAGGCGACCTCAGGGGTCTGGGACATCCTTCCAAAGAGAATCGTCACAACTATCCTACCATTGAAACTACGACATGCCGAGATATCCCCTCATCACGCCCACAGCAACATCTACCATCCCTGTATTTAAGTACTTTATTCCCGTTCATTCCCACCGCGGCCTCCACCTTGTGAGCAAGGCGCCCAAACACATGGCCCCCCGACCTTCACCATTGGTCAACATTATAATGATGGCCCTGAACTACCGCTTTGACGTGGGTATTATGAGACCCTGTCTTCATCTCTCATTCATATCGCCGCGCTTCCTCCGTGACGGCCGTCTAGGACATGTGGGCCTCGTCGTGATGCTGTGGCCGAACTTTGCCGATGTGAGGGCGGCCGGGGCCAAGTATAAAGAGGCCCTGCGCCTGGCTCCTTTCTAGAAGCATTGAAGAGACACGCTTTGCTTGGTTTCCTCTCCCTGCCCCCCTCTCTTTCGTCTTGTTCCTGCTCGTTGATTTTCGTTCCTCATGATGGAAAAGTCCATTCCCCCTGAGACATCGGGCTCATCCCCCGCCCACCCACCTACGAAGGAGCAACTCGATCCCGACCTCGACATCGCCCTGCCCTACCGCACCCTCACCTCCCACGCCAACCTCGCCGAGTACACGACAACGGATCCTAGGGGCGAAATCCCCGGGCCCCCCGTCCCCGCCAGCAGTAGCAGCAGTGGCGGCACCGCCGTGCAGGAACAGTACAAACTCGTCACCTTCCGACCCAATGATCCGGAGAACCCCCGCAACTGGAGCAAGCTGTTTCGGTGGTACTGCACGCTCGTCGTGGCCTTGACGTGCTTTGTCGTCGCTTTATGCTCGAGTATCATCACGGCCGACATTGCAGGTGTTGCGCGAGAATTCGACGTCAGCCAGGAGGTGGCGCTGGTGACCGTCTCGGTGTTTGTCGTCGGCTTTGGTATTGGGCCCATGGCTTTTGCACCCCTTTCCGAGGTTTTTGGCCGCAGGATCATATAGTACGTTACAGATGGTCTTTTCTCTGTTGGGTTTCAGTAGACTGACTGTTGCAGTGGCTCGACCTTGCTCTTGGCTGTCATTTTCATTATTCCCTGCGCCGTTGCCAACAACATCGGCACCCTCATCGTCTGTCGTGCCATTGACGGCATTGCCTTTTCGGCACCCATGACACTGGTCGGCGGCACTCTTGCCGATCTCTGGAGCAATGAGGAGCGCGGCGTGCCCATGGCTGCCTTTTCTGCCGCCCCATTCATCGGCCCAGCCAGTATGTTTTGATCTGCCTCGTGATACGATGACACACTGACAAACGGGAAACAGTCGGCCCCCTCGCTGGCGGGTTCCTCTCGGACGCTCTCGGCTGGCGCTGGCTCTACTGGCTCCAGCTGATCCTCGCCTTTGTCGTCTGGGTCCTCATCACCTTCACCGTCCCCGAGACATACACGCCGACCATCCTGGCGCGCCGCGCCGCCAAGCTCCGGGCCGAGACGTCAGACCCGACGCACGTGACGGAACAGGACATTGACCCGCGGCCGCTGACAGCGCGTCTCGGCGTCTTCCTCGTGCGGCCGTTCCAGCTCCTCTTCGGCGAGCTCATCGTCTTCCTCATCAGCGTCTACATGTCGGTCCTCTACGGGCTGCTCTACATGTTCTTCGTCGCCTACCCCATCGTCTACCAACAGGGCAAGGGTTGGTCCGCCGGCTCGACGGGCCTCATGTTCATCCCCATGGCCATCGGCGTCCTCTGCTCCGCAGCCTGCGCGCCCGCCGTGAACAGACACTACCTGCAGCTCGCGGCGCGGCACCACGGCCGCCCGCCCGCCGAGGCGCGCCTCGTGCCCATGATGGCAAGCTGCTGGTTCATCCCGGCGGGGCTCCTCGTCTTCGCGTGGACGAGCTACCCGGGCGTGCACTGGGCCGGCCCGGCCCTCGGCGGCCTCCCCGTCGGCTTCGGCTTCATCTTCCTCTACAACGCCGCCAACAACTACCTCGTCGACAGCTACCAGCACCAGGCGGCCTCGGCCCTCGCCGCCAAGACGTGCATCCGCTCCTTCTGGGGCGCCGCCGTCGTGCTCTTCACCGAGCAGATGTACGCCCGCCTCGGCGACCGCTGGGCCTCGACCCTGCTGGCTGCCGTTGGCCTGCTGTGCTGCGGCATCCCGTTCCTGTTCTGGCGGTACGGCGCCCGTATTCGCGCGCGCAGCCGGTTTGCGTATTCGGGCGACGACGAGGAGACGGGGGTCGATGGCGGGGCGGGGAAGCGGTGTGCTGCGCGGCATGGCCCGCTGCGCACGGAGGAGCAGGATGATGATCTGAGGAGGGCGCGGAGCTACGTGAGCAACCCTTAGTCGGTACTGCCCATTGGAGTGCGATCACATGGAATGGAGATACCCGTAATGTTGAGACATCATGACAAACAGAGCCCTCTCCATACGCCAGTGGCCAACGTCAACAAAGTCAAGTACCATAAAGGCTTTGATGTGTAAATCATCACAACGGAATGAGGTTCGCGCATAACGTGTAGTAAGAAACTAGTGGACTTGTCCGAGCCAAGCTTCGACGCGCTCCCAAACCGATCCGAACGCCGAGCTGTGCTTCGCAAGGTGTCATTTCACCAAACAGTGTAAACAAACCGCGCATGAATCCCATCGCTTCATCACATCACGCCCGGCTCTCGCTGTTGTCCCTCCAGATATGCGCATCCCCCAGGCTCAGAGAGCTCTCTGACGTGCCGGCGTGGTTGAGGCCTTGGTCAGGGGAGGCCTGGACGTCGACGAGCCGCTCCTGGCTTCCCGCCTCGGACGGCTGGGTCGGGGGAGGGTCCTGGTAGATCCAGGGGTTCTCCAGACTGCGCCGCGTCAGTCAGCTAGGTATCGCATAAAGCAAGAACAGTCACGACATACCGATAGGTGAGGCTCGGGTTCACAAATTTCATTCCCTTTTCCTTGTCCTCGTCAATTGTGCTGCCGCGCCTCAGCAGGCCATGCGACGGTCTAGGTCCGTCAAAGTCCTCGTCGTCAGCCACAGCCTCCTCGCCGGTGCCAGCTTCCGGCACGATCGAGCGAAGCGCGATGAAATATGTCAGTGGGACGAAGCGCCGGCTGAAGTAATAATTGTACCAGATGGTTAAGAAAATGAGAGGGAACGTCAGCACCGACTGGATGAAGGCCGACTCGAGGGCCATCTCGCTGATCATAACGACCTGGAAGACGAACAACCCCAGCACCACGCGGTTGCAGATGATGCGCCACGCACCACCGGTCGCATGCTGGGGCTGGTCCATGGCGTACAGAAGCTGATACTTGTAGGTGAAGTAGCCAAATGTAAAGTAGACGAGTCCAACCGTCAGAACCAGGTAGCCATATTGGATAACGCTGTACACAAGGCACAGGATGAAAACGAGCAATGCCGTCGGGAGGTAGAAGCCGTAGCTAAAAACAGGCGGCGACATGATCTGGGCGAAGTCGCGTGGCGTCTTGGCGCCCATGCGGTAGATCGGGTACAGCAAGACGCTGCCGACCTCTAGCAAGCGGAATGGGAACAGGCCAAGACCCTGCAGCATGATGAAGTTGGTGTAGAAAAAGCTGAGGTCGTTGATCTGTCCGGCTATGAAGCGCGCAAAGGCTCCCGTGTCGCGAAGCCCGTCTTGAACCCTTCCCACAACCTGGAAGATATTGATGGCGGTGCTCGAAATAGCGAACACTATGAAAATGTTGAAGAAGGAAAAGAAGAAGTTCTTTGAAATGATGGATAGCTCAACGTCGCCCTTGGAGATCATGCCTTGTTGGTACGACAAAAAGTCGTACAGGTACGGGACCGCAACGTTGAGCAACGAGACGAGGAGTGTCGGCAATCCTGTCTCTATCAGGGCGCGGAGCACAGGTAGGTCATCCAGCGTTGCCACAACATTCGGGAACCATTTCTTGAGGTTGCAAATGGTCAGGAGTCCGGCAAGGGACGCGACGGAGCCGATCCAGACGAGAGACAGCAGTGTGACAAAAATCGTAATGACCCAGGAGCGAAGCCGGCGGACGCCCCTAGGCGTGTACGTATTCGCCCAGATGACGTCTGACGGGGACGGTGCAGGTTTTGTGAGTAGTTGGCCGGGTCGGGGGTCGATACGGGCCTGGATGGCCATCTGACAAGCCGCAATCGAGTCCATGGTCACAAACGCCGTTGACGCGGCAGCGGGGGTCTTTTTGCGCGAGGCAATAATCTTGTCGTCGAGACGTCGGAGCTTCTCTTCGTAGTAATCAATCGCATCCGTCTTGCGGGTGCGAAGACCCAAGAGGCCGTACCGCAGCGTCAACGAGGGTCGCTGTCTCTCGATCAGTTCGGGTCGAATGTCCTCGTGGCTGAGCAGCCGTCCATTCTCGCCCGCGTCTTCCTGTTCATCGCTGTCGCCACTGCCAGATCCCTGGTTCTCCTCGTCTTCGATCCGGTTCGACCTGAGGCGTTGGATTGACTTTGGCAGAGCAGACTGCTTCCCCAGGTACACACTCCACGCCTCCTCAAGTTTGCGCAGCATGGCCTCGCGCTGCGCAACAAGGCCGTCCAGCTCCTTCCAGTTGCGACACAGGCTGACGGTCTCGACTTGGCCAATCTCCAGGCCCTCGATCAGTTCCTTGATCTTCTGCTCGTCCTTGAGGTTGGAAGGAAGCCCGGTCAACCTGAACGTGCGGTCGGTAATGGTAGACTGCGTGCCCAAGTACTCCTGGCGCACACGGATGACACGGAACGTCTCTTTATTCACAATGTAGATGGTGAGGGCTGTAAAAAAGTAGGTGAAGACGAGCCATGCCCAAAGATGGGCCTTGTCGTTGTTCTTTGCAACGGCGCTAACATGGCGGGATGGTTCGAAGGCGCCGTCGAGGCTGGCCTGGCCGTAGACGGTATGAAGCATGGCAGTGCTGGGGTGTTTGCCGTGGTGGCCAGAATCGCTCATGAAGTGTCGGTTCACCTGAAGGAGGACGGCATAGGCAAAGAAGGCCATGATCGACAGCAGGCGAATAGACATCTTGAAGAAGGACAGGAACTGGACCAGTCAGTCCAGGCATTCCTCACACGACTGCCGAGGAGTGCCACCTACAACAAAGGCATCAAGGCCTGCCGAGGCCAGAACTTGCTCCTCGGTGACCCTGAACAGTCCTGGAATCCATCCAAAGAAGGTGTCGGGCAACGCAGGAAGTCCGATCGTAGGGTCGAGGCGCCGTTTGCGCGCCGCATATAGGGAAGACCATCGTGGTCGCAAGATCTGGGAGACACACGGTCAGCAAGCAACGGTGACAGCGGGGAGAGTTTGACGCACACAAAAGGTGGTAAACGCTGAAATGCCAAGCACAAGCGACAGTCCCAGCTGGACAGTGATGTCTACGTTTCGGGGTCGGAGGTAGTCGGCACCATTGCAAGTTTCGTTTGTCTTCTTTTTTGTCGCATAATCAAATAGGTCGTCCATCATGACGTCGGCGCATTTCTCTGCGGCCAAACAGCAGAGAGGGCGAGGTCGAGCTTTCGACGGAGAGGTGTATCGCGAGGTAGAGGTCAGTGGTAGGTACTCGTAGGTGCGCTGATGGTGGCAGGTGACGCGGTGCAGCCAAGCGTGACCAAGATGAGAGACAAGACGGAGCTGCAGCTCGAGGTCCCCACTCATTCGGGGTGTGACGTAGGCAGACATCATCAGCCACGAACCCTGCCAAGCCACTATGCACCGCCTCTCCAGGTACTTCTAAGTTTGGACAGGTAGCCAGCCTGCCAGCATGATATGATGGCTCAGATGACACCCAGTTTGTGACATGTTCATGAACAATGTCATGGAGGCGGCCTTATTGCATGCAATCAGACACAATCAACACAATCGTGCATTCTGTGATGCCACTAAAGCAAGCGTCACTAGATGAAGAGACTGTCAGTGCTTGCTGAAGGTCTCGGAGGCAAGAGCATCTCAATCAAACTTGAAAAAAAGGGGCGGGGAAGTATCAAATACTGTTCACCTCATGCTCTGGATGCTGCCCTATAACAAGAGTTCAGTTAAGCAAGAGAAAGCTCTTTCTTCCCTTTTCTTTCATTATCAGACAAAATTTCAATACTGCTCTTTTCACACACTCAAGACCATTCCATCCAGTGCCACGCTAGTTCAAAGCATGCCTACTTCTTCCATGGCGTGAAGAGGGCCATCCTGAGAAGCCTCCAAATAAGGAAATCCTGGAGCACTACACTGTACTCGCGAGAAAGCCACCGGACGGCGACGACGGCGAGGGTGACAAGGTACAATGCGGACGACACCGCGGAGATGACGATGACGACGAGGAAGGACCTGGTGCCTCAATCATAGCTCGGGCAGGCACAGAATCCAACGCGCCAGAGGCAGGCACACTCATATCTGACGATGCTGAACGAGGAATGATTCATAAAGCCTTTCGGCCTCAAATCCGAATTTTTTTCTTCTTGATTTTCACTTGCCGCAAACACGACAGAGATACCGGGAACTGCAGCCCAGGTGCCCAATATCAGCATCAGGCCGAAACTTCGCCATACCCTCCTTCCCTTGGCTCGGAGGAAATCATATCGAAATCAATGTCGGCCGTCTCTGGTTCGGATGCCTCCGCAGGCTCTACCCTCCCTTCGAGCATCTCGGGAGTGGGAGACCAGCCTAATCTGTCCTCCATCGGTCACATCAACGATACGCCAGCCGATATCAAGTGGCCCGATCAGACCGACCACGATCTCATCGAGAGACGAGTTGCACAGGGCACACAGGACGGGCCCAAATTGGCCATGGCACCTCTGGAGTACGTTCTCCTTCCTGCCTATCCTATCGTCAGCCTCTGCCATCAATCGAGCCCATGAGCCGCGCCTCCCGTTGGCTGTTCCTTACCTTTTGGATGACTTGACACTGACTCTCAGCAGAAACTTTAGATTCAAGGGCCAGCCGTATGACCTGATCGTCGGCTTCCTGGTCAAAGGCGTTCTACACGTCTGGCGGTTACACAGGGAAGTCGTATATCCGAGATGCTATGCCGTCAAATTCCACGGAAAGCAGGATGTACGTTTGCAGTTCCTCGTTGCCCGTTTTGTCTCTGAAACTGACAATGCGGTGCCTTCAGTTGGAGCGTCGATACGCTCAGGGGTTGTGTCCTTTCAACACCGCCCCGGTGACGATTGTGGTGGTAATCCCGAACACCTGGGCGCCTCTTGGTATCAAACACCTCACCACATGTTCAGATCTATGTATCAAGAATGTGAGTCAGCTTCCCTGACGCCGTTCCTTCCTACGTACTGACGCCGACGAAGCCGGTCCCAGCGTCACCCTTACACCCAGGTTTACTCTCCAGGACTGCTTAACCTGCGTCAAACTGGGTCACTGGCTCAACGATACACTGCTTCAAGCATATGAAAGAGGAATGGGCGCCTTCCTCAACGAGCGGCTGACGGCCTGGCTGTCTGCTTATCCCGCGCCACCGCAGGGACAGCAGTGTTCGTCCGATGATGTTGCATGCGTCTTTGCCCGCCTTGCGTCGAAACCGTGGTACCGCGACATGCTGTTTGGTGAGTGTCTCGACGACCTGCGCATTCTTCTAGAGAAGAAACGCCAGTTGCTGCTGCAAGACTCTGCGTGGGCTCGGCGCGTCGAGGAGGTCCCGGAGCTTGGCGTACTGATGGGTATGGATTTGATTGAGCTGTAGAGTCGAATACGGCATGGGACGGTCTCTGACGGCTGCGACCTGCTATCGGATTGGGCCGAGTGACACTCCTCCTGGAGGCCACTCGATAGGTAGCTGTTAGTACTTGCTGCTCTTGCACGTAGCTGCCACACTTGGACCGGAGATCTGATTGCGTTGCTATCGCTCTGCAGAAATTGACATCCTTCATATGACTTGGCATTGGCATCTTGGGACGCTTTGGAAGCATTTCTTGGTACGAGTGACTGGTGAATACGAGCGGCCCAGTCCGGGGTAGCTGTCGGGTGAAATCGCAAGTGAGCAGCACATCCTCAATAAGGCTGTCGGACGAGTGGAACTCTCAAGTGAGCCATATCGCGAAGCAGTCCCTCGTGCAACCCGGAGATCATGGCGTCGGACAAGCTATTGGTCTACACTCAAATTGCAAGTCCGGTTTGTAAGCGTCTGCCACAAGCACATGGAAGAACTGGACATCAACAACAGATAGATTTTCCCTCCAAAAAAAAGAAAAAACAAAACTATCAGCACGCTGCCTTATTCTTTTTAAATTGAAATGCCAATCACCGCCTACGCGCCATTCGCCTCGACCACCACCTTGGCCCCATCCGCCTCCGTGACGGCAAAGCGCCAGCCAAAGGCGTCCTCGGCCTTGCCGGACTGGATGCCCTTGAGCGCGCCCAGCAGCTGCAGGCACACGGGGCCGGCGTCGGCCTGGGCGTCGGGGATAAAGGTGACCGTCTCCTCGCCGGGGGCCGGGGCGCTGAGGCGCGAGGCGCCGGCGCGGGCGGCGGACAGGGAGCCCGGGGTCGAGGGGGCGATGCGGCGCGTGATGGAGCGGATGGGGACGAGGCCGGCGGCGGTGCCGGCGGCGAAGACCTCGTCAAAGTCGGGGAGCTCGGTGTATTTGATCTGCGCGCGTCAGCGGCTGCGACGTGAGTGAGGGGGGGCGGTGAAGAAAAGAAGGGAGGAAGAGGGGGCAGAGGAGAAGGGAGAAAGAGGGGGCAGAAGCAGAAGGGAACGTACGACGCGCTTCTCGACGGCCCAGCCCAGGGACCGCGCAATCTGCTGGATGCTGTCGCTCGTGACCGAGTCGATGACGCACTGCGAGTCGGGCACGACGAGGGTGTAGGCGCCGGCGGTCTTCTTGGCGCCGATGAAGCCGCTCGTGCTGAACTCGTCGACCTCCTCGTGGCGGGCCGAGTCGAGGTGCAGCGTGATGCCGTAGCCCTCGGCGCGGGCCTTGTCGCTCCAGCGCAGGACGGGGGCGTAGTTGCCGCCGACCTTGGCGTGGCCGGTGCCGTGGGGGGCGGCGCGGTCAAACTCGTCGAGGATGAGGGCCTTGACGGGGTGGACGCCGTGGTAGACGCCGGTCGGGATGACGAAGACGGCAAAGGTGTACTCGTCGGGCGGCGAGAGGCCGAGCTGGGCGCTCGAGCCGTAGATCTGGGGGCGCACGTACATGGCGGCGCCCGTGGCGTGCGGCGGCACAAAGGCGGCGTTGAGGGCGACGGCGGCGCGGCAGGCGTCGAGGAAGGTCTGCTCGGGCACGCGGGGCATCGAGGCGACGTCGGCCGAGTGCTGGAGGCGCAGGGCGTTGCGGTCGGGCCGGAAGAGGGCGATCGTGTCGTCGCCGGGGCCGCGGAAGGCCTTGAGGCCCTCGTACGCCTGCTGGCCGTAGTTGAGGGCCGGCGCCATGCCGTGGATGCGCATAAAGGGCGACGCCACGAACTTGAGCGGCGTCCACTGGCCGGTCGACTTGCTGTAGGTGGACTCGATGTGGCCGTTGACTGGAGGTGCCGGCTGTCAGAAGAGAAGACCACAGGGTAGGGCCGTGGGACCTGAAGGCCTAGAGCCAAGTCATGGAGGGCGTACCTTCGCGGACCTGGAAGCCGACATTGGCCCAGTCAATGGTGTCCGTGGGAGGAGGAGGGAAGGCAGCCATCTTGAGAGGATGCTCTGGCGAGGCCGAATGCGGGGCTGAGGCGTCTGGATATTTGGTGATGGGAGAAGGTTGAAGCTCTCCCAACGTGGCAGTAGCTGTAGGTACAGGTAGGAATGGGTGGTTGAGGCGAAGAGGACAGGTTGGAGGCCGGCAGAGTCGGTTCGTGGAGGGGTATAATCTGACGAGAGTTTCTTCCAACAATTATGAAATGGCGTCAATTGGCCCGGGGGAGTCGAGTCTCACGGCAGCAAGGTTCCGGCTTCCGAGTCATTCGAGTCATTCGAGTCATTCGAGTCACCCCTCAACTCTGTGCCATCGAAAATCGAAAATGTTCGGGGGCAGCGCCGATGTCGGGCTGCGGGGTAGGAGGCATCTGGTGGAAGGCACCACCGCGCTGGGACATGCCTGGCTGGAGGGCTCTGCTCGGAGTGAGCCGAGCAGCCACAGGCCCAAGCTCAAGCTGCTCCTCCCGATGTTTGGGTACCTGACGTACCTACCTACCTGCCCTGCGTACTATGTACCTAGGTACCAGTAAGGCACCTCCAAGCTTCAGGGGCCTCGCACATGATGTCATCTCTCCTCCAACTGGTCTCTATCAACCTCCACAGATCCTTTCATCTTCAGTACATGTAAAATACGACACCACCCAGAAGCGAGCAAACCGAATTGAATAAATTCCACAAACCCACGCTCGGGCTCTACACCTACATGGTACTCGTGTGAGCGGTCAAGTGTAATGAGATGAGATCGCCGACACACACATTCTACACTCTATCCCATTGTCTCGTATGGCTTCCTCCAAGGCCTTTCTCACATCAACGTTGATGCATCCCGTCACATCAATCATATCGTTGCAGCGCATATTGATTCGGAACATCGACAATAGCGGGCCAAAGGAACGCAACTCGCCTGCCCCGCCCTGGCTTCATCTGTTGCTCCCTCCCCTCTTCATCGTCATCGGCGAGACCCGGCTCTGCGTGTCGACATGGTGATATTCCCTTTCTCCCCCCCCAACGCCGAGCAAAATCCAAATAAATCAGCCCTCCTTCCTCAATACGTTCCTCAGTCTTCGTGAATTCATCATGTCTCGGAGAAACACCGTTCTGGTTCGCTTCTCTAAATAGACGCAAGCCGCTCGAGGGCGGATAGGACACCTGTCCGTCGTTAGCATGGAGCACTGAGAAACGCCGTGCCGCGTCCACTCACCACTGACACCCTGCGTCAGGGTCGCCGTCGCTTCGGTGCTGCCACGCTTGCCCAGCGTCACCGTTGTGACCTCCTTAACCACGCCTTCGTCGGCAAGCGTGTTGGCCCACTTGAACACCTTTTCGTCGTCTCGCCCGTCGCCCACGACCATGAGAAAGTCGACCGGGCCCTTGTGCTGTTCGTCAGGCGCCATGCCCGCCTTGAGGTCCTCAAAGATGTGCTCCGCCGCCGTGCTCTTGGTCCAGTCGATTGGTTCGACAATGATGCACCCGTTGAGAGGGATGGCGTGCACGCGCTGCGCCTCGCACGCGTCGTTGACGTGGCTGGCGCAGTCGCTGGCCTGCCGCGCCGCAGAATCATAATCTTCGGCGCCCTTGTAGTGGAACACGAGGCTGCAGCGACGCTCCTCAATCACGGCCCCTGGCGTTCGCTCGAGGTAGTACGTCATGATTGACTTGACTGACGCCTTCCAGCTGCGAATCTGCTCGGCGTCGGCCATCACCTGCCACGTGCTCTTGCCGCAGTCCTTGAGGAAACACCCATTCTCCGCAATGAGGCCCAGGTTCGGCACGCGCCGGAAAGTGCGGTCGAGCTCCTCGGGTCGCCGCCCAGACATGACGTAGATGGTGTTGCGATCGTCAAGCAGCAGGTCATTGAGTACATCGACCGTGCGCTGAGGACTGACAGGGATAATCTGGTTCATCGGGCCCCAGCTGACTAGTGTGCCCTCGTAGTCGAGGATGAAGAGACGTCGCTCGCTGCGCTTGTACCGTTGCGTGAGCGTGCCGATCGAGAGACGCGGCACCGCCGTCTGGTCGCGCTTGTGCTGCTCCTCGTGCACAAGGTCAAGACGCGAAAGGAACTCGGAGAACCAGTGCGAACCCGTGTGATGCATGACGGCCTCATAGAGTTTGTTCCAGCGTCGCTCCTTTTCCTCATCGCTCATCTCGAGCGCTTGCTTGATGGCATCGGCGCATGCGCGGTAGTCCCAGGGGTTGACGGCGAGCTCGTGGCCGCCGAAGAGGGATGATGTGCCTGTGAACTCGGACAGGATCAAAGAGCCGTGCTTCTTGTCCGGCAGAACCTCGCCATCCTGGCAGAACAAATATTCGTGAGATGTCAGGTTCATGCCCTCGCGCTGGCTCGTGATCATGAGCGCGTCAGCGCACGTCAGAAGTGCGAGGTACTGCGGGAAGTCAATGTCCTGCTTGAGGTACACGACCGGCTGATATGCCAGATTGGCCCACGACGAGTTGACACGGGTGACAATGTCACTGACGGCGGCGTCAAGGTCGCTCTTCTCGCTGCTCGACATGGCCACTTGGATGAGGACCGTTTGGTTGCGCCACTGCGGGTTCTTGTTGAGGAACAGCTCATACGAGAGGAGCTTCTGGCGCACACCTCGAACGTGGTCAAGCTTGTCGCGGGCGACAATGAGCCGCTTGCCCTTGTACCTCTCTCTGATGGTCTCGATCCACTTCTTCACGCTGTTGTTGGCGCGGCGCTCCCGAATGTAGACCGGGTCAATTCCAATTGGCAAGTTCACGACATCGACAAAACGATCCTCGAGCTGAAGGCCGTCGGGCGTGGCCTCGGCACCCAAAAGGCGACTGCATGTCTGCTGGAAGTGACGAGCATACTCATGAATTTGGAAGCCGACGAGGTTTGCACCTAGCATGCCTTCCAAAAGCTGCTTGCGCACGGCGAGGCATCGGAAAACCTCGGAGGAAGGGAATGCAACGTGCAGGAAAAAGCCAATCTTGGCCTCGGGTAGTTTCTGGCGAACCATGCCGGGCACGAGCAGCAAGTGGTAGTCATGCACCCAAATGACATCGCCGCGCTTCCAGTTGGCAATGATCTTGTCCGCAAACGCCTGGTTGACATTGACATAGTATTTCCAAGAGTGATCCTCAAAAGCCTTGCTCTTGGGGTTGTCTGGGATCTGGTAGTGAAAGACTGGCCAGAGGATTTGTTTGCAGAAATGTGAGTAGTGGCCATCAAAGTCCTTGTCGGAAGCAAAAACTGTCAGCATGTCGTGATCGGTCGCTAGGTGGTCTTCGATGTCTTGCTTCTGCTGTGTTCCTTCGAGTGCGTCGGTAGGCATGCCGAGAGTTCCAACCCAAGTGTAGTCGCCCAATTTACCGTCACGAGCGGCGGCGTCGGCAGCATTGCGCAGACCGCCGTTCCCCTGATCCGCGTTGACAATCTTCCAATTGGCGTGCGCAAAGACGCGATCATGACTGTCACTGCGAGCAATAGCACGGGGCTGAATGACTCCCTGGCGGCCGAGCTCACGCGCCTTCTCCAGGGTCCGACTGTGCTCAGCAATCAGCGCTGGCGGCGGAGAGCTCGCTCGGGATTTTGGCTGGTTGGCGCTGCCACCCCATCGGGGGGAGCCCTTGTCGGCGGGCATACCGGCGTCGACGCTCTCGTTGCCGTCGTCGGAGAGAGGGATGCGGAAGCCATCTTCGTTGGCAAACAGGTCTTGCGATCCGTGTTCTTCGGTTGGGGTATCAGGAGGTGTCACTTCGGGGAGAGGCGTAAAGAGACTGGGTTTGTCGGCGCCGGTGAGGGTGGAAGGGCCCGGCTTCTTCGTTCGTTCTGAGCGCTCGGGGGCTGGCGTAGCGGTGCCGGGCTTGCCAGGCAGGTTGAAGTGAACTGTCTTGGGCAGAAAGCTGACAATGTCAGTATGCGCTGTCTTGACGGACCGGGCTTGCTCTGTGGTTAAGGATAGTTAGGGGTGCGGGACGAGCTTACAGCGTAGCGACAAAGACAGTCATGGTGGCTGACAGATAGACCCTACGGTCGCTGTGCTATGTATGTCTGTTGGAAGGGCAGGAGACGGGGGATCAGGCCTGACTCGAGGCGGATCAAGATGGCGGATGGTGGTGATGTTGACAGCGATCGATCGGATTGCTACGGAAACATGGGGTTGGATGTGAGGAAGGCGTTGCTTTATGCCGAGGTGATGAGATTGACAGTTGGCCCAAGGTCGTTTCAGAACGTTGGCAAGGTGCCGAAGTTGGCTGCTGACTATGGTGGCTGACGCTTGTCTTGACAATCGGTTCAAGGTGTCAAAGGCGCAGCATCTGTTGCATGTGACAACGCGGTAAGATTTCCGTCGAGGTGCGAGGATCGCACAGGCGAGCGCAATGCTCTCTGGAGGATAGCGCAGGTAAGGATCACGAATAGTATGGTTCGACGGGGATTGGATATGGACGTTTTGGGTGTGTGGTCGTGCGTGAGGTGGACGGTTGTATAAGGGCGCTTTTTCGCTTTGATGTTGCTCGTCTCGTCTCGAAAATTTCAGGTGGACGTCCGGGCCGGATGTAAGTAGATGGAGGGGCAGTGAAAATGGCACCTCAGGCTTCTGGGAAACGGGGAAATAGGCTTAGGCTTAGGCTGGGCTGCCTCCACTGAGGGGAAGCTCGAGCGGGCGTGGAGGAATGAGTAGTCCTTGAGAGGAAGGGGAGTTGCGGGCGGCTGGAGCCAGAGGCGGAAAAGTATACAGGGAACTTGGGAACAGGAGCAGGGTTCCGGTTTGGTGTGGCGGGACCCTACGTAATGGGCCGGAGCTTGTCTCACAGGGCGTCGTAGTTTGTGCCCTTTTTTTTTTTCCTTTGCTGAAGGGCTGAGGCTAGCTGAAAGGCAGCTGTTGAGATCAACGGGACGGGCGTTGCGCTCTCTGTGATGCTTTTATGACAAGTTACGATGCGATCGATGGCTGATGGCCGATGGCGATGATTTTGATGCCGGGACGTTTCTGCCTTGACTCGGAGTGGTATCACAGGCCAACGCACGAGGAGGCCCAGCACCGGGCCAGCGTGTCCGGATCGTCGGTTTTTCTTGCCTCTTCTCTGCGATGGGTCGTTTGCAACGCCGATGGGATATCACTGATTGAGGGTGCGGGATTTGATCCAATGGCACAGAGCAGAGCAGCAGAGGTAGGGCAGATGTGGTGATTGACGGCGGCAGCACCCGACGGTGTTGACTCCGGTTTTGGCCTTGGACACACCAGGAGCTTTTGGTCCGACAGGCAGGCAAGCAGGCCAGCAAGAAATCAAGGAACGGAACCGAGAGCAAGGCAAGCTAGCTGTGGAGAATAGGAACAGGCAGATGATGTGTTGATCGAGATCTCGGGTCAACTTGAGTTTGAGCCTTCAGAGGTAGAGTTACGGAAAGGATGAGAACGACATGATCAATGCGTGGCTGTTAAGCTGGGCCTTTCCATCTTTTTGAAGGGCAGGTGCCTTGGGTGGGCAGGCGTTGGAGGAAGCGGCTGCCCTGAGCATCCATGGTGTCAGCTTCCTCCTCACCACCAACTTGTCTTCACTTTCCCGAGTTATTATTGCAGTTGAGGTAGGTACCGTGGCTGCTTCCCGTTTCAAAGGCAGGTGCTAAAGAGACCTTGAAAAGGGTAGGTACCTAAGGTACCTATCTACTGCCCTCTTTCAGGTGTCCCACATCCCAAAACCTGCTGAGACCCTCCGAGGATCTTCAGCTCAATGGCCTTAGCAAGTGCCTGAACTTGACCAACATCGAGACATCAACATGCACACCACACCATCAAACGCCGGTCAAAGCTTGGTCTTCGCTGTTGACACTCGGGGCTAAACACCCGTATCAGCTCCGCTGAAGATCGGCAACGCTACTCTACTCTGCCTTCTGGACGTCTTTGGATGTGTCTCTTGCGTCTCTCGTCGTGTCGCCATATCATGTCACCACGACCTCGACTGTTGCACCTCTACCAACGCGATCCTCCTCCACAATCGATGCCACGGGATTGAAGCTCCGCTGCATCATGCCCCTCGTTCATCGACAAGCACTTTCCCATGGACCTCATCCTGTCATAAATGACAGAAGTTTACGCAGCCTGACGGGCAAAATGGTAGAAGCGCACTCACTCCGTGTCTCTTGCATTCAGACACTGTCGGCACATCAACAGCCGTTCTTTGTTGTTGGACCCAATCGACAGAAAGCCACGAGGCAAAGACATGCCATTCCAGTAAGGTAGACACGCGGCGGGTCTGGGCCTTGGCTGCGCCGTAGAGAGGTCCCAACAAGCCACTCTATCGACCATGATCTCCGTATTGGTTCGCATTTCCCGCCACAACGTTCGCCGTCGCCGATCACCACAATTCGAGGCACCAGCATCAAGTGTCCCAGGCAACTGGCAAACATTTGCTTCGGGTGGCATCGGCCACACCTCGCTGCCCCTTGATCGCCAGCCACTGGGGCCGCGTCGTGGTTGTGTTGCATGGGTTCCGACCTGCAGCTACGCAGACCTCCTCTCTGCCTCCCTATTCCCGTCCTACCGCTGTACCATTGGTGGCTGGCCAACTCCCGAGCTGCGAGTGGTCGCCATCGTTCGCTCGAACTGCCATGTTGTCCGAGCTTCACAAGCTTCTCTTAGCTCGCCTTCCAGGCCTTCAAGGCCACCCATTTGCCCCTGCAGAGTCTCTTGCAGAAGCAGGTATTCGCGCGCGTCCACCTGCGTCTGGCCGAGATTGGCGGGGTTGCGCCAGACGTGCAGCCCCAGCACCTTCGGCCCAGCCTTCCCACGCCATAAATGATCAGTGCACCGAATAGGCCCAAGAAGGGGGCGTGAAGATGCTGCATTGGGCGCCTTTGAGGAGGGAAAAAGAACGCTGACCTGGCGACCAGCTGTTGGCTGGGCCTAATTTAGCACCGACATCGTCAAGCGTTGGATTCATTCAGGCATGGCGGCGACGGGGTCGCTTGCGACGCAACTACCGCTACGTGTTTGTCCGTTTGACTGCATCATATGTAACCTGACAAAACGTAGACGAGGCTCACGATGCGGGGTATGATGTATCAGTCTATCTATCCATTGGATCGGACTAACACTGTGCTTGTTGGTAGCACGAGTCTCTTCTCATAAATGGACTGAGAACGCGCCTCTACCAGATGCGAGCACGTCGCCATTGGTCTGCGTGTCACAAGATTTCACCTACCTAGGTACGCAATCCAACCGCGATCCTACCTAGTGATCCGTCAACAAACGCCGCAGTCATTTTCGTCAGATATCTAAAAACAGCATGACTGGTTTTGTCGGCCTCTTCTCTCCTTCCTGCCGTGGGAAGGCCGGCAGCCTGGAGATGACGAGTGGCTGATACCGTCGCATGTTTGCCGCCTAATATCACGACTCGACATCACTTGCTGGCCGAATATCCCTCTTCTTGGGCCCCAGTCCAATCTCACAACTTAAAATGCCCGAGAGCACAGTGAGCCATATAACGCATAGGACAAACTCGTCGTCCAGTCGAAGTGCCGTATCTCACCCCGTGGTCCAACAGCTGCCCAGTTGTTGTCGAAATTGTCGCCCCTCTGTGATATCGCAGAGGTTCCATCCAGCCCCGCCAGCTTCGGGTCGGTCGCCCGTGTCCCAGGCGCCAAATGTACTACGTTAACGAGCAAGCTGTCGCCTTGCTATCACGAAATATCCCTCTCCTGGTTGAACGATGTCGCATCGTCCAAAGAAGCCCCGTGTTTCCCCGAGCGCGGTTCCTGGAGTTGTCAACAGCCTAAATCAGACACCCCCCCAGGATCTTCCACCACCCACCGAAAGGACGATGCCATCACCACAGCTGTACCTTGACTCGCCACAAGAACAAACACCATGACCAACCCCTCCACTCCTTCTCACAATGCTGCGCGATTTCACGTTACGCCATTTCGGGCCTGGTCACTCTTGTGCAACCACCAGGGAAATCTGACTCAGTTCTTTTCTCGGCCTCTTCATCTCCTCGTCCCAAGCAGTCATCACGGGTCATCGCCACGTCGACCACGACCATCTATACGGCTTCGCTCTACTTCATTTCCCCTTGACCCTTGCGACCCGGCGCCAGTCCCACCAAGTACCCTTGGCCCTTGGTCGTGCTCCTCCGCCCCTCCTTGCCCCCCCCCCCAGCCGCGACAGCCCTGTCATTTTGTGCGGCCCGACCCCGTAGTCTCTCCGCCTGCCCGGCGCAACTTTGTGATGACCATGCTGCAGCAATCTGTCTTTCGCCCGTTTCACATGCTAGGCTCCCCCCCCCAAAGAAGAATGAGGCTAAGCAAAGAAACTGGAGGCCTCGTTCCATGCGCTGTCAGGGTTGCTGCACATCCTCGCTCGCCTGGACGACCTACATACATATGTGCATGCAGAGACCCCGGCCTAGAACCGATGACACTGCTGGTTTATGTCTATTGGTGGGTGCTCGCGGGGCGTAGTCGTGTGTTTTGTCGCCGTACCGTCCGGTGTCACTCTGGACCTGCTAACAACTTTTTCTTTGATTCAAACCGCCTTGAGAGAAAACACAGTTCGTCTCCATGGGGCAGCGCTTCGTTGTCTGGCAGCCGACTGGCCGGCACGGAACGGAGGATTTGATGCAAGAGCGTCAAGGGGGTATATTTTGCCGTAAAATGGAGAGCCGAGGCCACGCGGGAGTGATACCCTGCCCAATCGTCTAGTTACACCATAGCCGAACCGCCTTGTCCTTTCCGCCGCTGCCGACCTTCTTGCCGTCGGGCGCCCAGTCCTGGAGAGCTATTAGTCAAAGATGTTTGGCAGAAGTTTTAGGCGAGGCCAGGAAGGGTAGGGTCCTTACCACTGCATAAACTTCGTCTTGGTGCCCGGGAAGGTCACGGACGAGCTTAAACGTAGACATGGACCACACCTTGAGGGTGGTGTCTCGGGAGCAGGTGACGAGGAGGCGCGAGTCGGCGGAGAAGGCACTGCAGTTGGTGTCAGAGATTGGGATCGAGAATATTATGGAGAGTGCAGGCACTGACACTTGGAAGACGGGACCGACGTGGCCGCGCAGAGTGGCCAAAAACCTGCCGTCCCGAGCGGCCCAGATCTTGGTGTGGTTGTCCCAGCCCGCCGAAGCAACGAGGTTTCCGTCTGGCGAGAAAGTGACCTTGAACATGCAATTAGTATCAATCGAATCTAGCGCCGTGTTAACAAGGGGGGGGGCCTCTCGCTACTCACATGGTTCACCTGCTTCTGGTGGCCGTTCATCTTGGCCACGGGCTTGGTGCCCTGCGACGGCGAGTGCAGGTAGAGCAGGAAGTCGTCGGACGCCGAGATGAAGCGCTCGTCAATCTTGCCCTGGACCTTGGCCACCTTTTCGAACCGCTCCTTCGCCTTGGCCCTCTTGCCCTCGTCAGTGTCAGGAACGGGCGTGTGGTCGAAGAAGCCCGTCCGCAGCACATGATCCGTCGACAGTGCAATGTGGTTGACCCAGTGCGCGTGCGCCGTGAACGTCTGGACGAGGGTGCCCTTGGCCGCATCCCACGCCCGGATCGTCTTGTCCTGGCTGCCGCTGAAGATGAGGTTTGTGCCGCCCCACTTGACGCAGGTCACGCTGGAGCGGTGGCCCGAGAGGACATGCTCCGTCTTGCCCGTGTTGGCGAGCCAGACGCGAATGGTGCAGTCCTTGCTCGCCGATGCGAGTCTCGGCGTGCCGTCCGTCCACAGGAAGTACGGCTGCCATGCTGGGCGCTTGTTAGTCTCAGGGAGAAAGAGAGAATGTGTGGATCGGTCCTCCCCAACGTACCGATCTGCGTGATCCATTTCTGGTGGCCCGTCAGCGCACCGCCGCGCGCGACACCCTTCTCGGGATCCCATAACCTGATCGTCTTGTCCATGGAGCCGCTGGCAATGATCTTGGCGTCCGGGCTCCACGCGACGCAGAGCGTCCAGCCCGTGTGGCCCGTCATCGTGTGCTGCGGCGTGCCCGTCTCCGTGTTCCATATGCGCACCGAGTTGTCGCCCGAGCCCGTCGCCAGCCGCGAGCTCGTCGCGGGACTGAACTGGGCCGCCAGGATGGCCTGGCCGTGGCCCGGTATCCTGTGCGCCATGCGGCTGACGGCCTGGACTTTGAACACGGCCTGCGGCTCGGCCGTCAATGTGACCGTCGTCTCGAACGGGTTCGTGACGCCATGGCTGCGGAGGAGCTCGAGGAAGTTGGCGGGCCACGTGTCGACGATGATCTCCGAGTTGGGAATGTTGATGCGGAAGCGGTAGGGCAGGTAATCTTCGCGGTCCTACGGTTCAGCACGTCAGTAAGAAAGCTACCAAGCGCAGTGAACCGCTGAAGCCCTTTTGTTCTCGGGTTTTCCCCCCTTCGTACCTTGTCTAGTAGCGTGTTGACGAGAAGACTGAGGTTCTTCTCCGAGGCGTCGGCGAGGGGGACCTCGATGACCTCGGCGAGCTGTTTGCCGTCGCCGTCGACGAAGCGAGCCTTGAACGAGCCATCCTCGCCCGGCGCGACAGCCGTGACGTCCTGCTGGATCGTTGTTCGCTCGAGTTCTTCGCGCCTCTGGCGTTTCGAGGGCGGGGGGAGAATGGTGGCCATGTCGTGCGTTCAGGCTGGGTCCTTCTCGCGCAGTGAACTGTCGCACGGTAACTTCTTCGTAGGATTCCGTGTTCCGACGGTTACTGAATGTTCCGTTGGCAGAATCTCACAGCCAAGATGGTCTGCTGCAGAGGAGGGGCTTGAGGAACGGTGAAGGCGCAAGTTGTCGATGCCATTTTTTGGTGGGGCACTCGAAATTTCAGAGGAGCAAGCGGCATGTCGGCCATTACATGTCCGACATTTTTCTTTTGGCGCATACTTCCTGGCTACAAGCTAAGACAACGACAACACCACTAGAGCCCTACCTTGCCCATGCCTTGGGACAATCGACGCCCTGGACAATTTCCGTGCCCATGAAAACTGTCATGAATAGAATAAAAACCTCCCTTTCCAATCGTGTTGAGCTCCGAATTTCCCTGAATAAACGTAGAGTGACCATGGAACTCTTCCAGTCACCGCCAATGCTAAACGCCACCGTTTGTCCGTCCTGAGACTCCTTCTTCCTAATTTTCCTTCGCTCATACCCATTCGTCATTCCATCCGAAACGCAACCTTCACGACGCACCGTTTGGGTTTCCCTTGGAACCTCCTTTTGGCGGCCGTCCTCGTCGTTTGGTCGGTACCGTAACTGGCGTGATGACCGCGCTCGTCTGCTGCGGCGTGCCCGCGTAGTGCCGAAAAATATTCTGGGCGATGGGCGCCGAATGCATCCCGAACTGAGGCACGGGGACGGGCGTCTGCTGGACGGGCGTCTGTTGCATTGGCGACTGTTGGACCGGCGTTGCCATGTGCTGCTCCCTGTTCATCTGATTGATTTGTCGCCGTCGCTCCGCCGCCTGCGCCTGTTCCTCCTCCTGCGTCTGTTGGAAGGGGTGCTTTGGGGCACCGCCCATTGGCGCGTACTGGGCCATGGGGTGCTGCTGATGCTGTTGGTGGTGGTGCTGTTGCTGCTGATGGTGATGCACCTGTTGCTGAACCTGCTGTTGTACTTGGTGCTGCTGCTGCTGCGCGTGTTGTTGCTGTACCTGCTGTTGCTGCGCTTGCTGTTGCGCCTGCTGCTGTTGATGCGCCTGCTGCTGCGCCTGTTGATGTTGTTGTTGTTGCTGCTGCTGTTGATGCTGTTGTACCTGGTGCTGCTGCTGCTGCTGTTGATGTTGCTGTTGCTGGGATTGTTCGGCAACACGCCGTCGATTGCCCTCCTCGATCTCTTGGTGCTTTTTCTCCTGACGCGCCTGCCGTTCCTGCCGCTGGAGATCTTCGTTCTCGACGGCGTAGATCGCGGCGATGCGCATTTGCATCTGCGCAAGGTTACCGATACGTTCCGGCTTAGACATTCTCCGGTATTCGCCCTTGAACTGGTGGAAGGTCTCGCCCGTGAGGCGCATGGCCGACGAGGACACCCCCGCTACAGCCAGCGCCGCTTGTGTATCCGGGTCAAGGGTCGGCGCTTCAGGCTCTGCAAACGTCGTGTCAGTACGATCCAGAAAGACGTATCGATTCAAACGAGACTGCATACCTTCGTCAGGATTCACAATCTCGGCATCACCATCCGCGTCAGCCTCCTCCTCATCAGAAGGCGGCTCTGGCGTCCGGGGCTCATGGTTGTGTTGATCGCAAATCACAGTCAGGACCCAAGCGCCAAGCGTCTTTCGATTGACGGCTTTGGCCCGCCAGGGGCAGTTGGTCTTCTTGGTCGTCGTCTTGAGCTGGGTCGCGGTGCACTTGTAGGGCTGGCCCCCACGGTCGCATACCAAGTCGCAGCGAACGACCTCGCTCCCCTTCTCGTAGTTTCCGGCGACCTTGTTCCTGTGCGTGCGCGACTTGACGACCTTGTAGCCGTCCTTCTGCATCGTCGCCTTGAGATCCTTGAAGAGGTCGTCAAAGGTGGGAAATGTTTGGCCGGAGCCTATGTCGACAGACCCCAGGATGCCGAACATGGTGGCGGTCGGGACGCGCGTGTCTGCGTCAGAGACAGCGCCGACGGTTCGATGAAGTGGTCGGGTGACGAGCGCCTCGGGGCGCAATCGTATCGTTGTTCGACACGTTCGACAGCGACGCGACAGGCGTCTGATCCTAGCTCGTGATCGAGTGAAGAAGCCAGGGCACCTCGGCGCAGTGGGAAGCTGTGCGGATTGATGCAACAGCCTGTGCAGAAGTCTGTCTTGAGCTGGGAGGACGAGAGTGGATATGGGGAGAAATGCCCGCCCGTGGATTGGCTGCTTGGTGGGGAGCCGCTGCGTCAGTTCGCTCAAGTTGTCTGCCTCGCTGAATGTGGTTAGCGCATATACATTCCACAACAGGCAAGGCCTCCTCGGCCTATCCTTGCCTCCTGGGCATGCACGTCCGAATAACGACCTCCGGTGAGGCAGGCACTGTAGCCACCAATACTCGCAGAGCTCTTTCTTGACATCGCACAGGCAAATACGCGAGGTGACTCTTGCTGTGAATACCTAGGTTGCCACTCAATGCACGATGGAGGCAAGTGCCGTTCACTTAAGATACTTACTGCAAGTGGATGCGACTGCCTAATCTGAAATCTTCCCTTGGAAGCAAACCTTGGCATTTGGCAGACGTTCTTTCAATCGAGGACGTCGCTGCTAGCTACTCATCCATTGACTGGAGTAGATCTATATACAGCATAGAAGCCTTCTTGCTTCAAGACAGGCGTGATTCCCAAGTTCATTCTGTCCCCCTGTGATGCCTCAGTCGCAGCTCACACAGAGCCCCGTTCCGAGGAGGCAGCCAACAACCACGATGGCGGCAGCATCTCGTGGCTTCGAGTCATCCTCCTACTTCGATCCCAGTCTGAGCAACGAAGCATCCAACGTATCGAGAGGCAACTCTGCATCAAGTTTCAGCCGAATTCCTCTGTACGAAGACGATGCTCTTGGCCATTCTCCCTTGCGTGATGAAGAAACGCCCGCTTCACCCAACTCGCAGTGGACCTCCAACTCAACATCAGCTCTGGCCCATCAGCCAGAGCAGGTTGGCTCAGCATCCACGATCCGGGCCTCGAGTACCGTTTCCACTGTCCCACACACTGCTTACACCAGTCGCCGATCCCAGACTCCTTTTCTCCGTGGGGACGAGGGCCGCCACGTCATATGCGCTGTAAGCGAGGCGCGAGGTATAACACCATCAGTCGGGGTAGCCTTCGTCAATATTGCTACTGGAGAGGTCATTCTCAGTCAAATCAGTGACAGTCAGTTCTACGTCAAGACCTTGCACAAACTCAACATGCTCGAGCCATCGCACATTCTCATGGTTCCGTCTGCTTGCGCACCGAACCCATCATCCTACCTATACTATATGATTGAACAACATGTCGCTAGCGCAAAGATTGTCCCCTGGCATAGGAAGTTCTGGTCTGAGTCGGCCGGATTGGATTACATCAGTGAATATGCCCTTCAAGGAGATGCAGAGGCAATCCAGGTCGCCATTCAGGGCAACTTCTTCACAACTTGTGCCTTTTCTGCGGTCTGTATTTTGTTGAAGGTAAATCTATGATGTAATCTGACGAGTCTCTAGGTAATGAAGCATCTCGAGGTTGAGCTTTCACTCAACATCGTCTCGCACACAATGCGTATCCGCTATGAACCATCCGACCATACCATGATGATTGATGTGTCCGCTATCCAGTCGCTTGAGCTTGTACAAAATCTTCGGAATTCAAGATCAAAGGACTCTCTCTATGGCCTACTTAACCAGACCATAACTCCAATGGGTGCTCGGAAGCTCAAAAGTGACATATTACAACCAACCACCTTGGTGGAGGATGTTCTGAAATGGCGATACGAAGCTGTAGCGGAGCTGACCTCATCGGAGGATATGTTTATTGGGGTGCGGAAAGGTATGCCATCATTCATTTTGCTTAGACATCCCAGGCTGAGCCCAGCAGCTTTGAAGGCATTTCCGGACGTCGAGCGGCTACTGTCGAAGGCAAGTCCTGATCAAGTCGCACATTAGCATTTTGTACTAATTCCTTCAGTTGGTCATCATCCCGCGGAGACCATCGACCGAGGCATCCGAGTTTGCTTTGAACCAAGTCATCATGATCAAAGCGTTTCTGGCATCTGTTCCCAACATATACCAGGCACTTGGTCCTGCCCAGTGCCATTTGCTTGTCAAAATCCGTGATCTATGTCGACCAGAGATGACGCAACAGGTTCAGGACCTCATCTCAGAGGCCATCAATGCCGACGTGACGTTGATGAAGTCGCCTTTGGAGATGCGTAATGCCCGAATGTTTGCTGTCAAGGTAATACGCTCCGCAGCGTCACTCGGACGTGATACTAACGAGGCCTCAGTCAGGTTACAATGGTCTGCTCGATGTCGCAAGACAGACATACAAAGAGTGTACCGAGGACGTCCACAGATACGTTGCTGACTTGAATAGTATGTCTCCTCCCCTAAAGCCCGATTATCCTGACTTTGCACAGAAACCTATGAACTAGATGCCAAGCTCAAGTATGACACCACCCGAAGATACTGGCTCCAGCTTAAAGCAGCAGATTTTCAAAACCGCGCCATTCCGGACGTTTTGGTGAACCGGGTCATCAAGAAGGGCCACATTGAATGTCTGACTCTCCAAATGAAGAAATTCGATTTCCGCATCGCAGACTCCGTGACAGAAGCCATGGGTATGGGAGACCAGGTGGTTCAAGAAATGCTCGACTCTATTCGAACTCAAATTGAGCCAATGTTTCGAGTCTGTGACGCTATTGCGCTACTTGATATGTTGGCATCATTTGCGCAGATTGCCATTCTGAGAGACTACGTGCGGCCTGTCATCAGTGACACTCTAGGACTGAGGGCGGCACGACATCCGATTCTGGACAAGGTGGGCCTGGTCTCACAGTTTCGCTTTCGTCGCCATTCCTGCTGATCATAATGGTCCTAGAATCTCAATGATGAATTCGTCCCGAACGATGTGTTTTCGAAAGAAGAGTATCGTTTCCAAATCATTACAGGCTGCAACATGAGCGGCAAGAGCACTTATATTCGTATGATTGCTTTACTACAGGTGATGGCCCAAATCGGCTGCTTTGTCCCTGCGCGTTATGCATCGTTTCGCATCATCCATCACATCTTTGCACGTCTTTCCACCGACGATTCTATCGAGGGGAATCTTTCCACATTTTCGTGCGAGATGCGAGAGATGGCATTCATCCTCAGGTGACCGCAACGCGACGGAAGCCACGGAGCACGGCTAACAGCTCTTCAGGAACGTCGAAAAGAACAGCATGGTTATCATTGATGAGCTTGGACGTGGCACAAGCACGCGTGACGGACTGTCCATCGCACTTGCTATGGCGGAGGCCTTGATGCGAAGCCGAGCCTCGGTTTGGTTTGTGACGCATTACGACAAGCTAGGTAACGTTTCTTTGTACACACCATATGCTTTTCTTCAATCGTTGACGTGAACATGGTCGTAGCTGAAGTACTTGGCAATCGCTTCGGAGTAATTAACCTTCATCTTGCCACGAGTACATCGATGACACCTCACGAAACCCCAAAGATGACAATGCTCTACACTTTGAGCTCAGGAAGGGTGCTTGACGAGCATTACGGCATCACATTAGCCAAAGCTATGGGATTCCCAGATGACTTCTTAGAAGAGGCGGAGAGAGTCTCAAGAAGTTTAAAACAGCAGCGCGAAGCCAACAGGCAGAGCCCGGAGGTTCACAGAAGAATCAGTCGGCAGAACCTCATCTTGAACCTACACGAACAACTCAAACAGGCCTATGCATCGCAGTTGGATGAAGAAGCACTGTCCCTTCACCTAGAGAAGCTACAAGAGGAATTCATAGCCCGGATTGAGGCTATTGAAGGTGATAGTGACACCGAGTCGGAACCACAGACTCTTTCACCAATCCAAAGTGCGACATCCGAGCCATTAATGTTCGAAGACGCACCTGCAACGAAACAAGAGGAATTTAGGATGGTTGATCTATCCGAGGATGTCAATGATACAGAAACGAACGACATGCCTGCTTCGCCGTTATGGAGTGACATTTTTGAGTCTGATGAGGTTGATGAATCGTCCCGAATGATGGACGTGGATGGATGATATGCTCAAAGTCAATGGGGCTTCTCTGATCGAGTATTGCTGAGAAGTGTATTGAAGGGTTCAAGTTGCTGTTCTCCTCTGTACACTGACACTGCGGGATGGGGTTAAGGTCTGAGAGTATCTCGAATAACCTTGAAATGCCATGCAGCGTTATTCTACACTCAAACTGACGAAACGTCTGCTGCCTACGAAATACATGATGTGTACGGTCATAATAAGCCTTTGGATCAAAGCAAAGACTTGGGCGCGTCCCAATATTTCCCTTCTCCAAATCCAATCTCGGCATCCTCCATTTTGACGCCGAGATGCCAGCGCCAGAAGCCGGGCCAGAAGTTCTCATGCTCCCCAACCACATTTCCCTGGTCGTCCGTCTGGCGGAGGTCAAACCAGCCAATGCTCGACCTGCGCGAGGACTGGTCCGGCGCGACGGCGCACCAGCGATCGGTGCCTGGCAACTCGCCATGGCTACCCTGGCCCTGGGGCAGGGGCGGCTGGACGAGAGTGGCGTCGACGCCGAGATGCTTGAAAAGAGACATCGAGATGGGGAAGCTGGGGACGAAAGGGGTAGGGCGGAAAGTCGTCTGAAAGAAAGGCGTCTTGCTGGGTGACGCTTCCGCGGCCGACACCGGCTCAGTGTCGTGTGGGTAGACCTTGATGGTGGTGCTGCCGTCTTGATGGTCTTGCCAGTCAAAGGCGGCGAGGTGTTTGGGGATGTTCCAGTCTGTGGCAGCCAGTCTTTCTTTAGTCGAGAGGTGGGGGTACACGCGATGGCGGTTAGCAGCACGGGGGGGGGGTGAGCACTGACTCTTTCTTCCGTTCCAGCAGGTCTGGCGCTGGGAGACGTAGATGCGGGTGATGCGGGCGTTGCGCTTCTTCACGCGCCTGCCGGCCTCCTCGACGGTGTACTCGTGGAAACCGGGGCTTAGGATGAGCTCGTCGTAGGGGCCGACGGGCGACTCGGTGTAGCGGATGAGCTGGATCATGCTGAGGCCGCCGAGGTGGCGGCTGCCCTCTGGGGTTGCGTATCCTGCCGAAGCCTCGAGGGGGGAGTAGGCGAAGGATGGAGGGTTGGCGGCTTGGGACCTGGTGGTCCAGAAGGCGAAGAGGTAGACTGTGCCCTTCAGAGTCCAGGGTGGAGGGACGAGGGTGTATTCATCGGCGTCGCCCATGGTGAGATGATCTTGTTGTGTTGCAATCAGTTGTTTGGATGTCGTTTGGGCGTCGAGATAAAAGAAGACAATGGTCTTGGTAAAGATGATGCCGGTGAGACGAGCCTCGTTGTTGCGTGAAGTTGGTGTCGCACACGGTCCGAGCCAGTCATCAACGGCGCCTGCCATGGACCGATGTTGAGGGTGGACCCCATGCTACGGCCTCGGTCCTGACCTGGCGATCCATGTCCCCGCGATCTGCTTGCCGGAAGGGGAAAGCGGGGGCGGGACTGTGGTGGGAGATGTTCAAGCATATGAAAAAGGCACGGAAACCACTTCGTGTTGCTTCAATGAAGGACATGGAGCTTGTGGATTGCTCTGGTATTGCTTTGGTCTCTACGTCTGTCGATGTGCAATAGCAGTTGAGGTGCATTGTTGTGAGCAAGACCTTGAGGAGAAACAAATACACAGGCCGGATTGGCAGCATTGGCTTGCGTCATGGCGCTTCTCTGTCTGGTGGTCGATAAGACTGACTTGGGAAAAGGTCACTATCGATACCTCGAGACCCATTTTATGTACCGACCACGCCAGACTCATGTGAAGTTATCGTGGACGATGGTTAAATCGAAAGAAAGCGCAACCCAGAGGCTGTGAGACGGAGGCACAGTCGCACCCTCTGATGGCAGGCGTGCAGGGCACTGGGCTCCTGCTGCATAGTGGGCCCCACCTGCCGCCGCTCCACTGCACTGTTCCCGTGCTACAACTGCAACGGGCTCATGCGGGGAAGGGGAAGGGCGAGGGGCAGGGGCTGTGCTCTTCGACAGGTCATCGACTGCCATGTGTGGTGGTGGTGGTGGTGGCCATCGACCCTCACACCACCACCCCCAAGACCCTGTTATCAGCCAAACCCAAGATCGAGACTGGTACACGGCCCATCTGGGCGGGCGTGGCGACTTGCGTCACGAACATCCCAACTTGCCATTCCTTTGCATCAATCATTTCATCATCACCACCAATCCCTCATGCTGAAGCTGTCTGTTGCCTCACGTCGCAGGTTCGCGACAGCGGCTTTCTCTCCATCATTTTAACTTACACCCACCTGCTTCACAGAGACTTCGCTTTATTCTTCAACTTGATCACAATCACAACGTCATGGCTGCCCTCGTCGTGTGGAGCGTCCTTGCTTGCGTCCACGTTGTCAAAAAGCAGCGCAATAAACGCATCTACAAGTACCACAACAGCCATGTCGGCCCACGGGAAACACGCCTCTTGACGCTGGCCCCAGGCTCCTTCTTCGAGGACCTCAAGGGCGACGTTCAAATCATCTCCATCGACGACCCTCAACATGCGCCGTACGAAGCTGTCTCGTACGTGTGGGGGCCCACGTCCTCCAGACCGGACTTCATCAAGCTCGGCTCCAGCAGCAGACGACTCTGGCTGCCGCCGAACCTCGCGCAGGCGCTTCGCTACCTCCGCAAAAAAGACGCGGCGCGCACTCTCTGGATCGACTTCATCTCCGTCAGACAAGACGATCACGCTGAAAAGGCCGCCCAGGTCGCCCTCATGACCGAGATTTACAGGGCTGCCGAGCGTGTCGTCGTCTGGCTGGGCCACGAGGCCAATGATAGCAACATTGCCATCGGCCTCCTCGATGAGCTGGCCTGGATGGTCGAGTTCGACTTTGAGAACACCAGGATGCGCCCCACTGGTGCTGGCGCCCTCGAGCCGACCTGGGCTGATCCCACCGAGTACCTTCCCTACGAGCAAGACGAACTGTGGGCTATCTATCAGCTTGTTCACCGCGCCTGGTTCGGCCGCGTCTGGATTCGACAGGAAATCGCCGCCGCCGATCCTCAAACCGCCATTGTTGTCTGCGGCAACAAGACGATCAGCTGGGAGATGCTGCGCACTGCGCTCGCCGTCATAGCCAACAAGCCACGCCACTTTTTGGATTTGAACGAGGAGAGCTCCCCCGAGCTGCGATTCGCGCGTCGATATGAGATGGTGTTACTTCTTTGTCAGCCTGAGAAGGATTACACCCTTCCTGATCTGCTCGATCAGGGCCGCAAGTTCAGCTGCTCTGACCCGCGAGATCGAGTCTATGCTGTCATGAACCTCGCCTCTGACGTCGACAACATGGGGCTGACCCCGAACTATGATCTAACCACGAGCCAGGTCTATCAAGATACAGTTCTTCGCTACATCCAGCAGTCGAAGAATACCAATATTCTAGCGTCCTGCGAAAGTATTGCAGCACGAAAGACAATGCCAACGTGGGTCCCCGACTGGAGTCGCAAGAGAATCGCGAATACAATGCCGATGCATCTCGCAAGCAGCATGTCCGAGGCGCATGCCGGCCCTACAGGCAACGGCGCTTTGAAAGCTAGCGGTGTGTACTGTGCAACGGTGGCCGAGGTTACGGAGCTTTTTGGAGACTTCGTCCCCGTACTGCAGGTCATCGCCACCGTTCGTCAGATCGCACCTGCCAACGTCCTCTCGGGCCCATACATGGACCGCGCCGGCGGGCTTCTGGAAGCATATTGCGCGACTTTGGCCTGGGGATTATTTGACAGCCTATACAACCCACCGATGGAGTCATATCCGGATCACGATGTCAGCATTGAGTCTCTCAAGCTAGTGCTCGAGCAACAGGAAGACTCGAAACGGACGAGCTCGTCTTACGATTATTCAACTCTTGTCTATGTGACGCAGTTGATCGCTACCTGCAAGGGTAGATCCTTCTTCACTACCCAGGAAGGTTACATTGGCCTCGGACCAAAATACACCAAGCCGGGTGACAAAGTCTACGTTGTTTTAGGTTGTGACGTGCCCCTTGTTATTCGGGATCGCCACTCCGGCGGTGACAGGGCTACCCTCCCAGGCGAGCCCGAATTCGAGGTCGTTGGCGACAGCTATGTCCACGGGCTCATGAGCGGCGAAGCTCTTCTAGGTCCTTTGCCAAATGAGTGTAAGATGGTCATGGACAGCGACGATCCTGAACAGCCAACTCGGCCCATGTTTGTTATGGGCCCGGGGACCGGAGCCTTTGAGACGGCGCATGATCCTAGGCTCGAGAAGCTCAGAGCTGCAGCGACGTCAGCAGCGTGTGAGAAGACACAGGGGGGATCTGTAGAAGAACTGCTTACGCCTGAGAATCTGAGAGCGGCGGGTGTGAATGTTGTGGACCTTAATCTTGTCTGAGCGCTGTTTTTCTAACGAACGACATATGATTGCAATTTCTTTTTCTTTTGTTCTATGTCGATACCCTGGCCGCGTTCCGTCAAGTACTTTATAAGAGTTAGCTTCGACCACAGAGGAATTACTAGCCCGACCCCCATACGAGGTTGTGACCGCGCACGATGTTGCTTGTATGTCAGCAGGAATACAAGCTCATGAGAGGATCGTGCGTTCATGCGCATTCTTTTCCAAGCTGTGCACCTCTTGGTATTATTGTGCTTTATAACAGCCCAAGCCACAGTCCCCATAGCTTCCAAGCTCACAAACCGACAGAAGACGGGAGTATGCCATACAACCCCTCCGAGCTAAACTTCCTGCCATCCGAAAGAAGAAATCGAATGGTGTATTTACGCCTCAAGCCCTCAGGGCGTAGGCGTCAGAGCCACGGCGGCACAGGCAGCGCAGCAGGTGCCAAAGGCGGCATTGCACGCCAGCACCGACGCGGGAGCGGTGGCGCCGAGCGTGGCACCCCAGGTGAAGCCTGCGGCCCCGTAGCAGGCTGTGACGACGCCGGCGCAGCCGGCCTGACAGATGCCGTAGGCCACGGGGCCGGCGGAGGCGGGGACGACAGCCAGGGCGGTAAGCTGGACGATCTTTGTTGGGCGCATTCTTTTGGCGGGGTTGGTTTGGGTTCGGGTGACGAGTGTCCTTGGCTGATGGATTTCGTGTTGCTGTCTGAAGAACGAGTCGTTGGTATGTCTGGTTGCGAGTGGCGTCGTCTGCTCAAGAGGCTGCTGACGGCCTTTTGGGACTTTATAATGGAGGAAACGTCCGGGGGTGTCATGTACGGTGGGAGGTCTACCGCCGCCTGGTTGGTTCGAGATCAGGCTGGTGTGACCTCTTGTCTCGCTGCCTGACTGGACTACAATGCCTTGATGATGCCGCGTGAGGGGACATGCAGACACATGGCCTGATCTTGATGTTTGCTATGGGTGGGAAGAGCTGACAGGCTACCTGGTGGACGTGATGATTGCGTCGCTTTGTTGGCCCAAAGGGTGTGCAGCCCAGTGATCCAGGCCCCGACATTCGCTTTCGCGTGTCTTTCACGTGTCTCTGACGACGAAGTAATGGAAGCGTCTCTCTGCGAGAGAACAACACTGGTGAGGGTATCGATTTATTGAACAATACGCGATTGAAGTCCCAAAAGCCTAAACGCCGTGCCATGCAAAAATGTGTGGGTGAAGAAAGCTAAAAGGCAACGCGCCGTTGGCGACCGGTGTACTTGGACGTCGACTTGACAACCTTGCCCTTGCGCTCCATCTGCTCCTTCTTGTGAACGATCCAGGCCTTGCTGCCCTTCTTGATCTCGCCCTTGCCCGTCTTCTCGGCCTTCCTCCTCTCGTCCTGGACGTCGACGTTGTCCATGCCGTCGACGACGCCCGTGATGTCGCCGGCACCGCCGCCGGCACCGCCGCCGCCCACCGTCAGGACGAGGTACAGCTTGACGTTCTTGGTCTCGGGGTCGTCCTCGAGGATACCGGCGCCGAAGCCGGCCTTGACGGCGGCCTGCGTGATCATGTTCCTCTGCGTGTCGTTCTTGGGGTAGAACTGGCACACGGCCTTGCCGCCCCTGCGAAGCGAGGCGTAGAGCCCGTTGAAGAAGCGCGTCAGGCGGCCGACGGGCGACGTGTCGCTGCTCTCGGCGTTGCAGAGCCACTGGATGGCCGAGATGCTGATGGCGGCGTCGAAGGAGCCGGCGCGGAAGGGCACGCCCTGGCCTATGTCGGCGAGCATGAGGTCGCCTTCGACGTCACGCTGCAGGGCAATGTCGAGCATGGACGGCGACACGTCCATGCCGATCCACGTGTGCGGTCCGCCGTGCTCGGGGAGTTCGGCGGTGAGGATCTCGCCGGAGAGACCGCTGCCGCAGCCGACGTCGAGGATGAGGGAGGGGGATTGCAGGTCGAGGAGCTCGAGGCGCGACGCGTCATGGACGCCTGGATGTT